AGGAGAGCCTGGCAATTCAGGGCTCTCCCAGGAACTGCAGCGGGGAAAGGAGCAGAATGACGGCAGCTCATCCGGCGGCTGTACTGCCTCCAGCCTCACCCCCCACAGCCCTGTCCTCCAGCATGGCTGCTACTGGGAGCCGGAGGGGACACAGTTCCACGGAAGGGCAGGGGGCAGAGGTGGGGGGGCTTTGCTTCTTTCCCCGCTGCGGTTCCCGGGAGAGCCCTGAACCGCAGGGCTCTCCTCGGAACCGCAGCAGGGAAAGGAGCAGAATGTGGGGCCACCGGGTGGCCCCACACCAGCAGCTCCTCTGGCACAGCTGTACCGCCCCCAGGCCCGCCTCCAGCCCTGTCCTCCGGCGGGCTGCTCTACGGACCGAGGAGATCCTGCGTGGAAGGGCTGGGGGCAGTACAGCTGCACCGGAGGTGCTGCAGGCGTGGGCCACTGCACGTTCTGTTCCTCCTCTGTACGGTACACTGTACCAGCTATAAATATCTTGCTAGTACAGCGTACCGGACCGGGCCGCCCTACTTGCACTGCTGCTCTTTATTCTAATATTGGGAGAAGTATTTGTACAATAGTGCTTTCGCATGGAATTCTGTTAAATGAAGCTCTTGAGTATCTTATGTCTGGACAAAAGATTGTGTTTAAAGTGATATTGCATTAGTGTGAATGTAAATACCCCAACTCTTAAATATTTCTATCTCTAATAGCTACTATAACTGTTTAAAGCATTATGGCTCCAATTTTCAAAAAGATCCAACTAAGTCCTATTTTCCAATATGACTTAAGCACTTAGGAGTTAAATCTCATTGACATCCAGTGAAACTTTGGCTCCTAAGCCAAAGTCACTTTTGAAAATGAGGCATAGGCTCCTATTTCACTTAGGCTCTTTTGAAAAATTCCCCAGTTCTTTCATAAAAGCCACAAAGCTGTTCTTATTGAAGTTAACTGTAAAAAGCACATTCATAGATCCATTGGGGCCGAATTCTCTGCTGGCATACCTCCAATGAAGTCAAAGGAGTTAGGCTAGTGGAATAGTTGACCCATCTATTTTGGCTATGTCTACACTATGAGCTAGAGGTCTGATTCCCCTGCTTGTGTACACATACTCACACTAGCCCTCATTGAGCTAGCAAGAGTATTTAGTGTAGCTACAGTAGCATGGGTGGTAGCAGCGGAGGCTGGGTATGTACTCGGCACGGCTAAGTCATGCCTATGCTGCCACTACTGCTACCTGTACTACCATGGCTACACTGCTCTTAATACGCTCACTAGCTCAATGAGCAGGGGAGCCACACCCCTAGCTTGTAGTGTAAACCTAGCCTTAAAGGTTCATCTAGCATGATCTCCTTCATCATGAAGTCCATAGAATTTTCACCCTGTAATTCCAGCAGGAGAATCAATTATTCTTCCCTACTAAGTACATGAACGCTATCAAGTCCAATAACTTGTGCACGAACTAAAGCATATCTTTTAGGAAGATATCTGGACTTGATTTAAAGACTCCAAGTGATGATGAATTAGCCACTTCCCTTGGTAAAGTGTTCCAATGGTTTTAACTCTCACCGTTAAACATTGACTTCCCTGGTGCATGATCAAGCCCCTCGGAGCTGAATATACTCTTCTTGTTATACCATGGTCATCAAAATCCTCTTGCAAATGACTTTGAACAGCTCCTGCTGAATAAGCATCCCTATGGGGAGAAAAGACCGCATTGGAGCTCATAACCACTGCAGAATGATGGAATTGCAAAGGAAACCCATTTAAATAGGGCAGGAAAACAAAAGGGGTTTGGCTGTTGATCCTGAGGATACCTCATGGGTGTTAGGCTGCAAAGAAGATTTGGCTCTACTGCCATCTAATTGATGTTACTCTAATCAGTGAACCAAACTTATACTCTGTTTCCCAACTGAAACTGTGCAATTTAGAAATCAATAGTGTGATCTACAGCACAGGGCTAAAAGGTTTCTGCAGGTTTATAAAAAAAAAACACAATACCACTGACCTCTTCTCCCTCGCTCATTTCATCCTCAAGACATCCCTGCAAACTTTAGAGTGCACAACAGACCATAAAGAGTTGTACTAACATTATAGAACCACTCAATCCTTATCCCTTTGTGTCTATTTGAGACAGGGACCGCTCATGGGAACTGGCGAATGCAGCACCCACATAAATCAGAATGCAAGTGGATAGCAAAGAAAGTTGTTAATGTATTTCACATGAGGAATTTAAACATTCATGTTCAAAGCATGAAGGTCCCAGTTTTTCAGTCCCTAAGTAGCCAAAACTAGCAGTCACTTTAGTTGCCCATGTGGTCAGTGTTGGTTATAGCTTTACATACTGCAGGTGAAACAAGTCTTTTTGAGAAATGTGCTGGTCTACTCTCAGCTTTTGTAGGGCTTTAACTATATCAGTATGACCCCCTAGTATAGACACAGTTATACTGGTGTAAAAGTGCTTAGGTCGATATAACACCCAATTTTTTTCTGAGTGAGCAAACTGAAATATCTCTCTGATTGATTCTGAAAGCTGTGCCTTTAACTTTGGCATTTCAAAGTATAAGAAATAATGTACGACTGGGCCTTTCCCCTGTGTAGCTGGTGATTTGTGAGGTAAAACAGAGTGAGTGTTCCAAAATCACTGTAAATTTGCCATTATTAAAAGGAGAACATTAACAAGGTCATTGTAGATTTAAAGGGTGTGTCTTTAGTATGTTACTGCCTGCAGAGATTGAAAGTGTACCTTTACTTCTCGTTTAATGCAGAGCCTGAATGCATCTGAACCTCTTCTAAATAGATGTCCTGTGATTTACATATTTGTGAACTACTGTCTCTTCTTTTCTTGTATCCACTTGGAAAACGCTTTATGAGAGCCTAGATGAACATTATTTTTTCCTGCTAAAGAGGTCTGTGCAATAGATGCTTTAGGACACAATTTTAACAGTTTTCATAATTCTTTTAATCTCTAAAACCAAGAGTGGGCCAGATCCTTAACTGGGGTATGTGGCATAGCTCCATTTACATCATTGGAGCCATGCCTGTTTACATCAAGTGAGGATATGGCCCCGTGCATTTTAAATATTAGCACTCATGCGTTATGCTATCTATTGTTGTGTTTATTATTTGATTTGGGGGATAAACTGCATGCAATTTCACAGAACCGCAGAGTCTGAGTAATGTTTATTATTGTTTTTATACAGTAGTGAAAGGGATGCAGTTTACTTGCATATGGAAAATCAGTTACTAGCATTTTAATAGAATACTTTATAAACATTTGGCAAAATGGAAAAAATGAGCCTGATCCTTCTGCCAGCGAAACCACTGGCAAAATTTGCACTGGCTTTGAGGGGAGCAGGATTGGGTTCAGTGTAACTAATGTGCCCCAGTATTATTGATATTGAATGAACGTGTTTTTATATTGAATGCTTTTTTCTGGACAGTGCATTGCGCTTTTATGATTTAGTGCTATACACAAATAAATTATTTGAAAATTCAGTGTTTTCATGCCTGTCTTTTGAACTTCTACTGGAATAATTTTACTGTAGGGCCTTATTCTCAGCTAGTGAGCTCCAAGAGTCAAAAGAGAGATCCTAGTTTATAGTAGCTGAGATTCTGGCCTGCAGTGTTTGCAGCCTATCTGTGTAATCTGCCTGTCTCATAAGGACAAAATGATCCTCGCTAGCAGTACATGTTTTAGATTCCTATTGCTAATATTGTACTCATTCTGTATGTGTCATTTCCACTGTCTGACTCTCTGTCCTCATTGCGAAGCTTCAATATTACGAACATGCTGGTGACTCCTGTTAGCCTTCCTGACCTATGAGAGTATTTTCATTCCCCCTACAAACTGTTGGAAGCCTTTGCAAACTGCATTACCTGATCTTTCACTGGGACCCATTTCAGCTGAGAAAAACTTGCATCCCAGTCATATAGCTGAGGTAGAAATGCCACGTCCAATGGTGGGGGGCTATCATTAAACAACAGCAGCATCCAGGATTCAGTCCACCAAACGTGGGTCCTTTCGGTTCCAATCCAGTCATGGGTGCCCTGTAAGTGTAGCTGATGAGGAAAGGATGCTGTGATTTCTATATACCATGGAGGACCAACCAGTTACCAAGTATCATAGTGGTATCACCTTCCTGCTTGAGGCAGGCCCAGAATCTGAACCATGACAAGTTGATTTTCTCTTTGCTGCATAAATAAAGTAAATAAATGGGTATGCTGCCCTGCATGGTGTGTTCAATGGTTGCTGAGAGCCAGGGCTATTCTGGGATAGTGAATTAGTAAGGAACTAGTCCATTTAAAGAATGCTTGTTATTTACCTCAGAGGTTCCTCAACTGTTATTCATAGAACACTTGATAATTCTTCTGAGAGAGCTGTCCTCTCGCATGGTGCTGGCATCTCTTTCCAAGTGCTAACATGGCATTAAATGACAACTAAAATGACTGTAATGGGCTGCCTGTCCCCCATTAGCTGGGCTGCAAGTGGGTGTGGTTTGAAAGAGAAAGCTGAGAGAATAGGATTAAAACTAAATGTTTGTTTGGTGGGTGGGGTTGCCTGTTACCGGCTCTACAGGGGGCAGGCATTGCTGTGTTACGGCTTGTGATGCATCAAAAGTTTGTTGGATTTTTAGACGATGTGGTCTCATCTCGTTCCTTCAGATACTCCCGAGGTCACAATCCATAGGTGTTCTCCTAGTATTATGTTTCCAGGTAAGCAACTGCTACAGTTGTGACATAAGGGATATGCACTCATCAAGGGGAGATGAGACAGTTCATACAGTTGCAGACAGAAAGCCTGCTACCCAATCTGTCTACTAACGTGGTCCTAACTGTGAAAAATATTGGGAACCCCTGATTTATCTCGCGAACCATATTGGTCTATTGGTTACATTGCTGACTTCATGCAATCTCAGCAAGTTCTCACAAGGAATTAAATTAATATGAAAAGTTTTGACAATTTCTGATAAATCACGTATTTTGTTACAATCCTCAAGAGGAATACAACCCATCATGAACTTTGTCCTGTGACTGCCTGGCACCTTTTTAGCTTTTCTGATTTTATGTCCTATTACTCTTCACCTTTTGACACCAATCCAGCTAACATTAACAACGAAGATTCCAGTCCAGTTAACAATGGTGCAAGTACATCTGGTGATGAATAAAGAATAGTAAGAGAATAAAGAAGTGAGTCAGACAATGTGTGTGTGAGAGAACGTCTGAGTGAATGGATGGATTGGGCATCAGCTTATGTGTGAGGAGAAAATAGAAGGGATAACAGCAGAGGGGAAGTATGGTCTAGTGGTTAACCAAGAGATTTGGGTGCCCAAGTTAATGACCTGTCTAACTTTCAGAGGTTCAAATATTCCAGGAGATTTGTGGTCAGGAGATTTGGGAGCAAGGAGTTGTGGGATCAGAGATTCCTGGCTCTGTTACTGACTTGCTGTCTTAACTTGGGCAGGTCATTAGATTTATCTGAGACTTCTGCTGTAAAATGAGGATAATACCACTTCCCTCACAGGAAGTGGATTAGGTTTAAATAATTTCAAAGGCCTAAAATACATACTGAATACAATTTGTTTGAGACTGAGATAATCTGTTATGTATAACTGACCTCAAACATTTTTAGACCAGTTTTAAAGGCGGTTTCCTTCTTGTAAATAAATAGCATGCTATTAAATGTGGATTTCATCCCTGCTTCTTGTCCTTTCCAATCCTTATTCTGGAGTTGCCATTTTATCTTCTTAACATTTGTTTAAAGTGTAAAGCATTACATTAGCATATCAGGGTGGTACAAGCTAGCACGTCCCCTCCCAGACCATTGAAGTTGCTGTATGTATTACCTGCAGTACTACGCCATGGCTCTTGCTGAACAAACTGCCCTTTCAAAACAAGCTCCCTGTTTTCAATGTGCCTCTTCCAGAAATTACAATTCAGCTCCAGAAAAGGTGAGCTAAACAGGGATCAGTCACATCTATGTAGACAGAGGGAGGGGTTGAAGGTTAGTGCTCATCTCACTAATATACCATTTCCTAACCTTTCTCAAGAAATGTTTTAGTGAGTCACTCACATAAAGGTTATAAATCTCTCACCTTATTACTTAAAAAAAGGAAACGGGGGAGCAAGGCGATGGTACAGCTTACCCCCATTAGACTGAACCACACAATTGGTTTGTGTAAAAAGTCACAGGGATGAATACACCTATGTGAACATCCTTTGACCCCCAAATTGGCAGCTTGTCTGATGCAATTGCCCATGGGCCTGTCACAGCCTATGGTGAGCATCAGATTAGCTGCTGAAGTCCTCTCTTTCTGCTTTTGAGGCTCAATACCGTAGTTGGTTTCATCCATTTTCAATTGAGACGAGGCATACATTCCTTAGGAGAAAAGGTTGCTTCTCCCTGTTCCTATTTAATTCTTTGCCTACTTTAAGTTGCCTGGAAGATGATGTGCTGTTGCCCCTCAATACCATATGGAATATTCTTTATCGGTCAACAATAATATGCACAGTGTTTTGTTGGTTGTCACGACAGGGGACTTTGGGATCTTGCAAGCATTGTCTTCCATCTTCTTCACAGGGTTTTTTCTGCTGTTGCAGATTCTCAGGTAGTCTTTATCTTTCTGAATACAGTAGGGCACTTCTCAAAATATTTTCTTTTAATTTTACTTGAAAAGAAGGCCAGGCAAAAAAGGATGTTGCTATTTATGCCTATAGAGAAAATAAAGTCCAGGAAGCTAGTACTCACGGGCCAGATGAATTTGTTGGCCCTCTCTGAGACACACTTGGATAGACACATTGGGGTCCACTTTGACACATACAAGAGGCATTCAGCATTTATTGCACTATCATTGTTAAAATGATCCCCTTCAGAAATATCTTTACTGTAGGATATTAATGGGGGGGCCTCCCAAAACAATGGAGCTTTATCCTTGCCACCTTCATAAACACTCAATTGTAGCATTATGCAAAGCCTTAAACTATAGTTGAGCATGCATGGAATGAATACATGGCCCCCTGACTGAATACAAGCTATAAGTAAATTGAAAAAGTTTGTTGATGTCACAAACCATGTAAACTTGGCTCATGAGGTTTACGGACTGAATCAAACTCATAGGATTAAACTACTGACTTGATAATTAACCTGGGATTCAATTCTGTTATGTGTGATATTAAGGAAATAACCATAGCCTGTTTAAATGAGTTTCCATGTTCTCTTCCATGCCTGGGAGCCCGGTGAAACATTTCCAAGAGCTATCTTTTGCCCACATAGGAGAAAGCTTGAGGGGAAATGAGAACACCATCTGCCAAGGTTTTACTCACAATCATTTCACATATGTGTAAAGTACAGCATTGCAGAGCCCTCAAACACAAGAAGTAATGCTTGCACACATTGCAGTAGCAAAACCAGAGCGGAATGATGGTCTTGTGATTAAGCTACTGACCTGAGACTTGATTGACCTGGGTTTAGTTCCTGGTATTATCTACCTATGTGACCTTGATTGAATCAATTAATCTCTGTGTTTCTGTCCCTTTGCTTTTTCTTGTTTCTTCAGTTTATAAGCTCTCTGAGGCAGAGACTATCTCTTATCAGATATTTATGTATTGCCTAGGGCAATGGAGCTCTGATTTTGGTTGCAACCTCTAGGTGTTAGTGTAATATATACAATAATAATAAAAGAAATGGAAAACAAGTGGCTACAGGAAAAGGTAAATGTACAACAGGGTCAGCTCTATTAGTCTTCAAAGGGAAGGCGGGCGCATTCTCTGGTGTTTGGTTTGAGTGGGCTGTGAGCCTTGTGCTGCAATATACATTTAGATGTTATCTGCTAAGATCTTTGTCTTGGGCCATGCACAATTCCACACGTGTGACACAGTTATTGCCTCATAAACCAAGTCCAGCATTTCAAAGCAACGCGTCTTATCTGAAGAAAGAAGATAACGAGCTGGGATTGAAATTCTTCCAAGACTTTGAAATTCTGCTTCACGCTGCTGTAGTACAGACTCACAGCCAGGATCAGCACTAAACAAAGCGAAATCCACAGGAGCAAAGGCAATCCAGCTGATGGCCTGTCATGTGCTGGGAGAGGTTGGGGAGAGAAAAGAAACAAGCATTATTTTAGTGTTGTCTGAAACAGCTCCCAAATTTGACCCCCACTGCTGCCTTTGTCCTGGTTTTCTGGAAACAGCAGGTTAGGCAGTGCTCTGGTTGTGAGTGCTTCTATATGCATCCGTTAAATGGCAGCGAGTCACACCTCCCTACAGAGGCTACTGAATATAAAAGATGTAATCTAATGGAGCATTACAAGGGTTTAATTATATACAATAAGAACAGGATTACCATAGTTAATGCATGTTCTCAAATTTCCTCACAGCAATTATTTTTTATACATTTAAGCAAAACACTAGGTTAAATTCTAGAGAATATTAAGCAGCCACGACTAATTATTTAATGCTCACCAATGTTCCATAAAGAGAGAGGAAGTAGATTACTTGCCTTTTCCCTGTAACATTAACTTGTTACAGGTCCTGCTAATTAAAATAAGAAGGAGATGTGGATGTGTCAACTGAGCAGCACATTTACAATGCTTTCACAGGGCCAATCTGCCTCTCAATGTTAAACTGGCTAATCACACTGGAATGTCCACTGTGCTTAAGCATAAAAAGGAGCATATTGTAAACATTTCTTCTTGCTTGTAAAAATAATCTGAGGAATTTCAGATCACTGTGGTTCAGGCGTACTACGAAATCATTGGGCTACATTTTACAGCTTGGGTGCCATTCTGCTGTCTATTATAGCCGGGCTATGCCATTGCAATGTTCTCAAAGGGTCTGGTCAGGCATAACAGGGGCAAATAGAGATTTAGATATGAGAATGCACCTTTAGTGAATCTTTCTGTTACCCCATCATGATGCGAGAAGTTAGCCAGTTTTCAGGGTCCTGCCGATTGTTTCCACTAAGAGGAGAAATTGATATGGAGCCAGATATTTCTTTGGGGCAATCCAGTTTATTTAAGAATATACAAAGTCCAGTTTCCCTGAACACAGCAGGAGATAATTTCTTTGCTCATAGTTCTAAGCCTCTTTTCTACAGCACTCTGCCCAAAAAGCTCTCTCACCCCTTTTTCAGGGCCACATCCCTAGTGCTTGTTCTGCTGTCCCCTTGGGTTTCTTCTCCTTCTCTATGTCTGGTATGTGGTGTTTCTCTCTCACACAGGCACACAATCCACCAATCACTGCCCCAGCACCTGCATTTGCTATATCAGTCCCCAGGCAAACTCCTTGGGTCACATAGTTAAACTTCTACTCAAGCCTTGCCATGTGCCTGTGTTCTGGGTGATTCTGTTGTTTCTGGTTCCATAAAGGAGCTCATTTGTTTTTTACACTTATCCTGAGTGACAAGCGCCTGGTACACCCACCAGTTTAACCTCACCCATAACTTTTCCATGGTATATCCTATCACTACCATGATGACAGCCCAGGGACTAATGGGGGCATAACCCCCTTATGTCCAACCAGTTGGGGGCCATTGGGCATAATCTCCTTCCTTCCAACCAATTGGGGGCTAATAAGGGAGAGGTGGCATTACAACATCCCTATCCCACTGGAAGATACACTCAGATAGGAGGAATGCTCCACTGGCCAGTTAAGCTGGCACTACAGCAACTTTGCGCCACTAGTCTAAGGGCTAGGATCTGGCATCAAGTGTCTAGGGTTCCCAGACTTCTGAGGACAGGTGCTTCTCATTGTTTAAGAGACCTGTGCAATAGGTTTGTACTGTGCTCCTGTGCCTTATCCCAACTGGAGGAATAGGCTGCCATAAAAAAGATGGAGAAAAGTTGTTCTCTCTTGCCACAGAGGGCAGGACAAGAGGCAATGGGTTCAAACTACAGCATAGCAGATTTAGGTTAAAGCTCAGGAAAAACTGCCCAATTGTAAGAAGAGTAGGACAATGGAACAAACTAGCTAGAGGAGAAGAAGCTTCTTCATTGGAGGCTTCCAAAGGAGGCTGGATAACCATCTGTCTGGGATGGTTTAGACACAACGAATCCTGCGTTTTGGCATTACGACCCTTGCAGTCCTTTCTAACCATATGGCTCTATGATTCTAGAGAGCAGCACAACAAAGTGGGAAGGAATTGTACATGCTCCCTGCTGCAGCATGGGTC